TTCAAATTCAAAATTACTTTTAAAGGGAACTCTCAAAGGTGTATTGGGCCCATAGCAGCTGGTGGCAGAGGAGTGATGAATCTATTCCCGGTTTTAGTTGCAGTTTTGAAAGACCTATCCAGTGTACAATCCCTCCAGATAGGTGCAGCACAATGCGTAGCTCTTTAAAGTTCAAACTAAAACCCACAGTACCAACATGAGGCTGATTTTAAGAGACATTTTTCAAGTTTTATGCCATTCTTTTACCAATCCTAAGTTTTTCTCCCTTGCAAAAAAAGTAACATTAATAAATAAAATTAATACAAAACTAATGCAAGGGGAATTGCAACTTTCCTAGTGTTAGAATCAGTAATTATAACAGATTACTTTTCAAGCACTATTATGGGAATGTATTGCTTTTAAACAGGATCTTTCCCAGCTTTGGGTAGGTATTAAACACACCTTCATCCAGTGCTGTTTGTCCACTAATAACCTGAGTGTCCCTCCCCAGCTGCTGCTACTTTAAATCTAAAATCCAATCACAGATCTCACATGTCACATTATCTTGACACGTCCATGGATTACTACTACTAGTCCTTCTGCTGATGTCATTGTGTTTCTCTTTAAGCTTTGACCTGTTATACAACATCATCTACTGATATCAATTGTAGTATCTATTTCAGTTATCACACTTCACACAATCTGGTCACATAGAGAGAAGACCTATCAAAAGCAATGGGTCTTTTCTATGTATGACTAAGGGGGGTTGCAGACTGCCAGAAATAGTGCAAATTGAGTCCACTTTTAGGGTTAGGGTTAGGGAATCATGGGAACTGTATTTTATTGTGGCACCAGAGCTCTTTGACAGAGAAGGCTCAATGTCTCAGAAAAAAAAAAAACACCAATTCCCATGATTCCCTAGCACTAACCCTAACCTTAAAAGTGGACTCAATTTGCACTATTTCTGGCAGTCTGCAACCCCCCTAAGAATGGATCCAACCTTCAGCCAGTGGGATTTTCCTTCCTTTTGTGTAACCCATATTCTTTTAGCTTGGGTATATTTCCAGTTGTAAAACATACATGCCTCTGGAATCTTAAAACAGGAATAGTTGCTATTTGCTAACATGTAATATGCTAACACAGCCATAAAGCAGTTTCAAAAAGTCTTGATTGAGTCTTAGAAATTTGGTGCATCTGTTTTTCCCATGCAGATAATGTTATTTTTATGATTTTAAAGTGTCTCAAACACTGTCCAGTGACCCCTCAGCATAGCATAAATATCTGTATGCAGACCTGTGCTATGCTGAGCCATATACACTCTTTCTAAAAAAAAAAACCCAAAACTGAATCTGCTCTGTACAGCCCTCCTATGTGTCACAAAGAGCATACAAAACTGCAGAAGCATCTGGCTACATCCCTTGCAGCCAGTTGCACAACTATTATAGCAATGCTGAGACCTGTTTGAGATCACAGCTGATCTCAGTACTCACATCACCATTTTCTGCCATTGCTCTACGGGGATTTTTCTGCCTGGCTAGAGGGATGTACCCAGATGCTTCTCCAAACTTGCCTGCTTGTCAGTTCAGGGGCTTTACAGTAAGTTTGGGGAAAGGGCTTTGGGCACTGTGGAAAAGAATACCAACCCATGCTTTGCTCAAAAAAAGGGCATTCACACATGTAAGGGACACATGTTAGGCTGCTAACAAAATGCTAGCCATTGTGTGGAAAGAAAATTGGATAGAAAATAGTACCGGTAATCTATAAAAAATGAATATATATATATAGGTTCTGTAATTAAGAGAAGCAACTGAAAAAAAGACAAATTCCATGCTAGGGGTCATTAGGAACAGGACAGAAACTAAAACTGTTATTGCATTGCCTTTATACAAATTCATGCCACCAATTTGAAATACTGTGCATTCTGGTTCTAAAAAGATTGTAGAGCTTGAGAAGGGGCAGAAAGATGAATAGGGGGCTCGAACAATTCCCTAGTAAGAAAAGGTTAAAACAATTGAAGATTGTTTGGTTAGGGGGAAAAAGCGAGGAAGGAAGGCATACGAGTAGTGTGGACAAAGTGATTAGGGAAATGTTTTCTGCCATTGCTCATAGGTTTGGGTCCCCCCCCCCCCAAAAAAAACCACCCTGAACAACCAGAGATTGAGGACAGGGAAAAGAAAATTGTTCCACAATGCAAAATTAAAACTTGCTCTCCCAAGAGAGCAAATTAAAAACTTGTTCTTAGCCAGTGGATGAATGATGGCCATGGGATACAGGGATTAAAAAGATGCTGGGGGGATAAGGTTTTCAGTAGCCTTATTCCTACTATATTATACACTGTTTTGTTAACAAATTTGAAATCATTTAAATGACCCTTGTTCACACTTGAATTGTATCGTTGAAGGAATTTAGCAAGGGGGGCTCTGTGCTAGACCCATTTAATGCGGGTCTTTTTGATGTTCATTTTTCCGCATCTTTTGCAATAAATTGATTCATCACAAGTGTGAACAAGATGTGGATCAGAATTGATTTCTTATGACATGATCAGCGATCAGCGACCCACTGAAGAGGAACCATTTTGAATTGATTCATTAGTCAATGTGAATGACAAGTGGGTTATTTTACAACAAGAAAATGTGATTGGGACAAATGTAGTGTGAACCACACTCCGCTGTCAAACTGATTCATTGATACGGATCGCAAACTGATTTATTTGTAAGTGGGAATGAGGCCAGTGGCTACTAATCATGGTGGCTATATGTTCAGGATAAGAAGCAAAATGCTATTTATATCAGTTGTTGGAGAACGACAATGAAAAGGGGTATTGCTTATGGATTAATCCAGTGCTAGTTCCAACTAGAGCAGACCCCATTGACATAAATTGGGCTTGTAATGGTCTCTAGTTAGGCCAGACTTGCTTGCCTCCCAGAGAACTTTATGTTCCAGGATCGCTTACAAATCCCATCAAAAAGTATAAAACATGCTGTTAGCCTTGCCAAATGCCTACAGGAAATGCTCATAATTTCTTTGTTCATTCATTCATGGCCACTCCATATAAGCATTTTGCAATATTGAACTAATGGGATGTTGGTCATACCCATCAGAGTTCCTGTCTACTGGGTACAGTGTCAGAAAGCCCAATTGAAAATTAGTGTTTTAGAAAATATTTACTAGAGATCTTTGCCTACAAAAATGTTTTTGCTTTAGATATTTTGTAGTGTTGTGTTGCTACAAAATATTACTCTAAGCATATCAAAAGAAAGGTTAATGTCTCAGCAAGTCATTTTTCAACACACAAAGACTGAAGTATCCACAGAAATATTTCTGGCTATAAAGTATTTCTTTTTAAACACCAGCATGCTTAAAATATTTTGAAAGAGCACACATTCTTTAGTGCCTACATTTATTGTCTGTGAAATGCCATTATTTCCAAAAGGAACTTGTAAAATGAAATACAGTTGAAAATTAAAATGTTGAGATAATGTCTATACAAATAATTGAAAGATGAGCTATACGTGAGGCACAATTTTAACAACCAAAAATGCATTCTAGAATGATCCCTTACCTTATTTATGTCAAAGATATTAAACACCTGCTCAACATAGCTAGTTGCTTCTGCAGCCTCATAATCAAGACCAAGGAGCACCTTGCATTCAAACAAGCTGAGTTGTCCAGATGGGCATGTTTTCATGAATTTTGCATACCACTGCTGGTTTTCCATAGCAGCCATCTCTTCAGCTGATTCACTAGCACCCATCGTGTTGAAATTTGTCTTCTTCTTTGCTCAAGTGTGCTTCACAAAATGCATCCACCCTCACTACTAATGGCTCACATCCAACACAAACTACAGACCATATCACAATCGTAAACCTCTTACAGGTCATTATGTATGTGGGCTAGGCTAAGTAAAAATAGAAAACAAGAGGGATTATCTCCAGCACTCCATTTTAACATGGTTGGATTTCGTTAATAGCTTGAACCCTGCTGGGTTACAATACTATCTATTTTTTTTCCCATATGCAGCTGAAACATTTTCTTCTTAATAGTGTATAGTTCTTACCGAAAAGAAAAGAGGTCCTATCTTTGATGACCATTGAAGGTATTATTGCATTATGTTTTGTAAGCTCAGAGAACACAATTTGACTGATCCAGAAAAAAAAAAAATCAGTGAAATCTTAACAATGTTTTTCTTTGATTTGCTTGAGACTTCATAAGGAAAACACAGAGTAATGGGAATCAACTGTCATTCTACTCTACTGCTTTTACAATCCTTCAGCTTTTAGAAGGAGAAATCAAGCCCCTTAACTCAAAGCTTTACTGCACTAAATAGTTCATCTGGCTTCCTAATTGTTTATAATGGAGTAATGGAATGAGCTGCTATTGGCACCACTAGGATTACTTGCTGGTTACATAAAATTGAATCATTCCTTTAATGTCCTGTCCCCTTCCATTTAACTATAGTTTATGCCCCACTTCTAAAATCCATATTGAAACTTCATTCTCTCCCACTTACCCTAAAATGCCACCAATAGAAAAGTTGTCTGGTGTCAGATTACATTTTGATCTCCTACCCTTTCCTGCTCACCTTCCTATTCTTGTTGGCTTAGATTTTTGGTGTTAAAATCCTTTGGGGAGCTTAATATTTTCTACAATACATGCACACCACCTGGAGTAGTTAAGTAGTTAAATGCAAGTGAGCTGTGAGTTGGGTACCATTTACTTTCTGTTCTTCTTAAATTTTATTCCTGGATATTTCTTACTCCCAAACA